GAGACTTGTCCAAAGGCCTGGAGGAGCTTAGTAAGATTAGGCAGAGAGATTAAGGGTGAGGTAATGAATAGCAACAAATCAGCGCACATTTGTGACAGCGCCCACCACACTCCACCCTGTGAATATTGGGGACAGATCTAATTGCACTCGCCAAGGTTTTGATCGCAATAGCAAATATAAGGGAGTAAAGAGAGCACCCTTGTCTAATGCCCCTGTTAATCCCATAGGGATCAGAATGATAACCTTGCAAGCAGACCGTAGCTGTAGGAATCACATAGAGGGAACGGAGGATAGCAAGGAAACTATTCCCAAATCCCCAAGCCTCCAACAGCTGGAAGAGGTAGTCCCACGACACAGAGTCAAACACTTTTGGATATCAATAGAGAGTTACATAACCTGTAGAGGCCTCCTCCCATTCCAGCTCGAGTGCAGCAGAGAGATCACATTGATAGTCCGTTGGACCTGGTCAGGGCCCTGTCTACCCGGAATAAAGCCCACTTGATCCTTATGGACATAAGCAATAATAAAAGAAGCCAGTCTGTTAGCTAATATCTTAGTCAGCAATTTCAGGTCATTATTGAATAGGGAAATCGGTCTATAGATTTCTACTGCTCCAGGGTACTTACCCAGCTTATGGATCACTGAAATAAACGCTGTGTTCAAATCTGGGTCCAAGGCGTGCCCCTCCCTCAAAGAGTTGAAAAACCGTTCAAGATGCAGAGCTAGAACAGACGCACATTTTTGGTAATTAAGAGCGGAAAACCCATCCGGACCCAATGCAGAGGAATGCTTGCTTTGTTTATTGGTCTGTAGGATCTCTTTTACCGTAATGGGGCCATCCATTATCTGCATGCCACTGCCAATTTAGGGATTTTAACCGAGTGGAGGAAGGCCGATAGTCCCGCATAGTCTGGTCCTTTTCTCATCAAATATGAATAAGGCTTACCGAGTGGAGCAGCTTAGTTAGGCGCGAACTGTCTCTAGATGGGTGACAGAGCATCTTGCCCTATCCAGACTGAGATCTAGGACCAGGTTCGAATCATCCCCACAAATCACCCTGCCCTCAAAGTGCTGGGAAAGAGTGCAAAACATAGGAGTAAAGAAGGCTACTTGTCTTGTGTTTGGGGCATATTAAGAGAGGAAAGTATAAAGGGAGGGTCCTATGTGTCCCTTGAGGAGATACCGACCTTCAGGATCCTTGATTTCTTGAACAAGGAAAGGGCAACGTGTTTAGCAAACAGTATGGCGACCTCCTTTGTCTTGGTCTCTGTACTAGTGGTATCGAAAACGGGGACTTGCTTATGCAAAATTGAGGTTTGTAAGTTTCAGGGAAACAATTCTCCTGTAAAAAGATAATATCAGCCCTCTGAGAGTGGTAGTATTGTAGAGCCTTGCGCCTCTTGATTGAGGAGTTAAGGCCTTGCACGTTATGTGAAAGGAGTCTCAAAAGGGGGGGGGTTTAGATGCCGCCATGGTGAACATTCAAGAGGGACCCGCAATCAGAAGAAACAGGCTGCTGCTTACCAACCCATGAGTCCAGGGAGGCTCCCAGCTCCAGACATTCAGGCTAGGAACCAAGCACTGGAACAACATCAGAACTTGTCCACCAGGGATCCACACAGGTAAGAAATAGGAAGCAAAGGGAAACATATTAAAGATAACAGAACAGACGAACAAAGAAACAAACAATAGCAAACGATACATTCTCAACTTTAAAGAGGTTAATTACAAAAAAAAGAAAAACAAGGCCCACAGGCCTGCAGGCCAATTCTGAGTCAGAGCTCAAGAAGAACCTGAGCTATGAGGCAGAGGGGGAGCGCACCCAACTGGAGGCTCACCGTGGCTGGCCCTAATTGAAGATAACAGTGATGATCAATTGAAAAATACGTTTTTCCAAACACTCTCTGAGCTAACTTCTAGACATAACAACTACAGACGAATACCAGGAAAATGCTAGAGCAGCTCTGAATCTCCCCTCTCCAGGGAGGGATTACATCAACTGGCAAGGAAACATCCTTGAAAATGGGTCAAAAACACTTGCAGAACCTAGATTAACTGAACTCAAAATGGAAAAAGTGTTCAAGGGGGACAAGCATTCCTTGAGGAACAAGAGCCCTGGGACCTCCAGAGTAGAGAAAATGGACATGGAGAGACTACGGCCTCTGGCGGAGGATGGTTGGAATGTTGTAAAAGAGACAGCCGGGGGATCCTGAGAAATGAGGCCTAGGTGGAGCAGAAGCTTCTCTCCCTCTGGAAAGGTGGAAAAGGCGTAAGCCTTATTTTTGTGGGTGAAATGCAAACGCAATGGAAAGGTCCACCAATATTTGATCTCATGGCGAGATAAGGCTTGCAGAAGCAGTTTCAAGGCATGCCTGTTTTGGATGGTGAAGGGCGAAATATCAACAAAAATTCTGACTTTATGCCTGTGAATGGACAATGGCTCAGCTGAGTGAGAGGCCTTCATAACCAGCTTTTTGGTGGCATAAAAATGTGGTTTCATGATGATATCACAGGGAAGGTCACCTGAGCATGGGGCTTGTGTTAGGAATGGACTGGCCAGCAATGGTGGGACTCACCTGCCTTTTGATCTGCAGTACCAGGGCTGGCCAGCGGGTGTTCCCAGCAATCAGAGACTCAACTCTGCAGCCAGCTAACACCTGTAACTGATGATGCTGGGGTATTTAAGGGATGGCCAGACCCACAGACTCTGCCTTGGTGTTGTGTTTGTCCTGGGCCCTGTATCTGTCCTGCATCCTGTTTCTGTTCCTTTGCTGACTTCTCCTGCTCTGATCCTGGCTTGTGACCCTGACCATCCCTCTGTCTGACCCTCTGTACTACGCTGCTTGCTACCTGTTCTGATCCCTGGCTTGTGACCCGGACCATCCCTCTGCCTGACCCTCTGTACTATGCTGCTTGCTACCTGCTGAACCTGGCCTGTGACCCCGACCATTCTCCGCTTGCTCCCCCTGTACCTACCTGCCCAATGGATATTGACCCGGCCTGCCTGACGACGCTTGCTTGTATGTACTGTTATCTGTGGGTGGTTTGGTTTGGTTTGTTTGCACTGTATTATGTTTTAGTATTGCACTGCGTTTATGTTTGTACTGTTAGTGTTAATAAATTATATTGTTTATAACATATCTGAGGTCTGCGTTTCCCTGCTTCAGTCACACACCTCTGGTCATACCTGGGACCCCTGACAGCTTGTAATGCCTGCTGAGCTCTATCCAGTCCCAAGCGATGATCTGCTAAATCTGGGAGTAGATTATGCAGAAAAGAGCGCACAATAGCATCAGTGTCCTTCTGTCAGGAATGGACTCAGCACTGGTGGTGGGACTCACCTGCCGTGTGGGCTGCAGTACCAGGGCTGACCAGTGGGTGCTCTCAGCTGCCAGAAGCTCACTCCTGCAGTCAGCCAACACCTGAAGCTGATTGCAGGAAGTGTATTTAAGGAATGACCAGGCCTGTGATTATGGCCTTGGTGTATGTTTCCCATGAGCCCCTGTACCTGGTATCCTGTGTGCCTGCCACGTTGCTGACCCTGCTTTGATCCTGACCTCTGCTGACCGTCTCCTGTTGAACCCCTGGCTTGCCTGGCCATCCTTCTGCCTGATCCTTGGTACCGCGCTGCCCGCTACCTGCTGAACCTGGCTTGTGACCCCGACCATTCTCTGCTTGCTCCTCCTGTACCACGGTGCCCGCACGATACCGTCCCGGCCTGTCTAACTACGCTTACTTCACCTGACGATCCATCCATCCCGCACGGATCACCTTTAGTAAGTCTGCCTGCCTCTTCCCATCAGACTCCATTCCTGCACTCCCCTGCCAGTACTCTCTACTACCACAGTCGGACGCACTCAGGGGTCGCGACCTGGTTCCAGTCTGCACCAAGTCCATCCCCACCAACAGGGGCCCTGGTGAATAGCAGGCTGGGACTTAGACCCCGCGCTCTGAGGAAATCCGTGCTGTGGGCTGTTAGAGACACCGCCAGGCGACACCTGACAGTACCTTACGGCTTGCCTGACCATTCCACCTCTCCAGCCTGACTACGCCTGTGTTCCTGAAGCCTGCTACTTCCCTGTGTCAGTCCACACATTTCTGGTCATACCCGGATCCCTAACAGAACACCAAGGCCAGTCCTGACCAGAAGTGGCTGCACAGGGAAGCCATCTTGGCTTATTGTTGTGAAGGATGCATCCTGAGGATGTTGTATATTTGTGTCTGCTAGTCTTTGATGACAGAGATTATGCCTATGAGACTCTGCAGGAGTATACCAGGGATCAGCTGCTAGAATGCATACGGATCGCTCATTTTCTAGTGAACCAGGGCACAGAGTTCTCTGAGGTGCAGTCATTGATTCAGGTTTGTGCAGAGTTGGCTTCGTCTGGTGCCCCTGAGGGAAGGGATGACTTTTTGCCGCCATTTAGTGCAGACCAGGTAGAGTCCCTGGTATGGTTATTAGAGGATGATGTGGATTGCTTCTTGGAGCATTATTCTGTATGTTCACAACAGGTGTTTAGGGATTGTATAAACGCAGTGCAGTCTTTGACCAGACGGGCTTTGTGTAAGTTGAGCTTTGTTCAGCCAGTACTGCAGACATGGTCGGATTTGTTACATCCAGCCTCAGTCAGCTTGCAACAACCCAGTCCTGCTTCTAACCATTCCTCTGCTCAAAGCTCTCTTCCTCCAGTTCCCACAGCACCCCCAGTGACAGCCCAGTATACCCTGTTAGCTACCACATGTCAGTCCCCTGCTCCCACTCGCTGCACCTATCCTGCCTTTTACCCTGTAAAGAAGCCCTCTGTAGCAACTGCTCCCTCCTTTGTTCCATCCTCCGGCTCTTCCCTGTCTTCAGCTGCTCCATCCGTTTACAGACCTGCATTCACTTACAGTGCTCCAGTAACTAAACCCAAGAAGAAGCGAAAATTCTTTCCAACCAGTATCATCCTATCAGTATCCAAACCGGTCAGCCTGCTGTCTGAGGACCCGCCTTCCGTTGTCCAGCCTGATGCCCTGATGCCCGATGACCCGATCTGGCCTGATGACCCGATCCAGCCAGATGACTCGTTGCCTGCTGTTCTGCAAGATGCAAGATGACTCGTTGCCTGCTGTTGAGCTTGGTGACCTGATGCCCACTGTTCTGCCAGATGACTCGTTGCCCGCTGTTCTGCCAGATGACTCATTGCCCGCTGTTCTGCTTGGTGACTCGGTGCCCGCTGTCGTGCCAGATGACTCGTTGCCCACTGTTCTGCCAGATGACTCGGTGCCCGCTGTCGTGCCAGATGACTCGTTGCCCGCTGTCATGCCAGATGACTCGTTGCCTGCTGTTGAGCATGGTGACCCGGTGCCCGCTGTTCTGCCAGATGACTCATTGCCCGCTGTTCTGCCAGATGACTCGTTGCCCGCTTGGTGACTTGGTGCCCGCTGTCGTGCCAGATGACTCGTTGCCCGCTGTCGTGCCAGATGACTCGTTGCCCGCTGTTCTGCCAGATGACTCGGTGCCCGCTGTCGTGCCAGATGACTCGTTGCCCGCTGTCGTGCCAGATGACTCATTGCCCGTTGTCGTGCCAGATGACTCGTTGCCCGTTGTCGTGCCGGAAGACTCGTTGCCCGCTGTCGTGCCAGATGACTCGGTGCCCGCTGTCGTGCCAGATGACTCGTTGCCCGTTGTCGTGCCAGATGACTCGTTGCCTGTTGTCATGCCAGATGACTCGGTGCCCGCTGTCGTGCCAGATGACTCGTTGCCCGCTGTTCTGCCAGATGACTCGGTGCCCGCTGTTCTGCCAGATGACTCGGTGCCCGCTGTTCTGCCAGATGACTCGTTGCCCACTGTTGAGCTTGGTGACTCGGTGCCCGCTGTCGTGCCAGATGGCTCGGTGCCCGCTGTCGTGCCAGATGGTTCGGGGCCCCGCTGTCGTGCCAGATGGCTCGGTGCCCGCTGACTTGCCCGGTGACTTGGTGCCCGCTGACTTGCCCGGTGACTCGGTGCCCGCTATCGTGCCAGATGACTCGGTGCCCGCTGTCGAGCTTGGTGACCCGGTGCCCGTGGTTCTGCTAGATGACTCGGTGCCTGCTGTCGTGCCAGATGACTCGGTGCCCGCTGTCGAGATTGGTGACCCGGTGCCCGCGGTTCTGCTAGATGTCTCGGTGCCCGCTGACGTGCTCGATGACTCGGTGCCCGCTGACTTGCCCGGTGACTCGGTGCCTGCGGTCGTGCCAGATGACTCTGTGCCTGATGACTCCGTGCCCGCTGACTTGCCCGGTGACTCGGTGCCCGATGACTCGGTGCCGCTGTCATGCCAGATGACTCGGTGCCCGCTGTCGAGCTTGGTGACCCGGTGCCCGTGGTTCTGCTAGATGGCTCGGTGCCCGCTGACGTGCCTGATGACTCTGTGCCCGCTGTCGTGCCAGATGACTTGGTGCCCGCTGTCGTGCCAGATGACTCGGTGCCCGCTGTCAAGCTTGATGACCCGGTGCTCGCGGTTCTGCTAGATGGCTCGGTGCCCACTGATGTGCCCGGTGACTCGGTGCCCGCTGACTTGCCCGGTGACTCGGTGCCCGCTGCCGTGCCAGATGACTCGGTGCCCGCTGTCGTGCCAGATGACTCGGTGCCCGCTGTCGTGCCAAATGACTCGGTGCCCGCTGTCGTGCCTCTGTCTGCTGTGCAGCCTGATGTGCCAGCCCCTGATGTCCAGCTAAACTGGCCAATAACTGATTCCCAGCCTACTCCTGGAAATCCTGTGTCCAGCGACCTGCCTTCCTGGGTTCCCCTACATAAAGAGAAGTCTGCCAGCAGGAAACCCAGCCAGCCGGTTGACTCCGGCAGTAAGATATCCAGCCAGTTACCTGACCCGGGCGGTGGAACATTTTGCCCACTAAGGACTGTTTGGAGTGTCCTGAGGCCGCTCCTTGAGGGGGGGGTGCTGTCAGGAATGGACTCAGCACTGGTGGTGGGACTCACCTGCCGTGTGGGCTGCAGCCAGAAGCTCACTCCTGCAGTCAGCCAACACCTGAAGCTGATTGCAGGAAGTGTATTTAAGGAATGATCAGGCCTGTGATCATGGCCTTGGTGTATGTTTCCCATGAGCCCCTGTACCTTATATCCTGTGTGCCTGCCTCATTGCTGACCCTGCTTTGATCCTGACCTCTGCTGACCATCTCCTGTTGAACCCCTGGCTTGCCTGACCATCCTTCTGCCTGATCCTGATCCTCGGTACCGCGCTGCCCGCTACCTGCTGAACCTGGCTTGTGACCCCGACCATTCTCTGCTTGCTCCTCCTGTACCACGCTGCCCGCACGATACCGACCCGGCCTGTCTGACTACGCTTACTTCATCCGACGATCCATCCATCCCGCACGGATCACCTTTAGTAAGTCTGCCTGCCTCTTCCCATCAGACTCCGTTCCTGCACTCCCCTGCCAGTACTCTCTACCACAGCCGGACGCACTCAGGGGTCGCGACCTGGTTCCAGTCTGCACCAAGTCCATCACCACCATCAGGGGCCCTGGTGAATAGCAGGCTGGGACTTAGACCCCGCACCCTGAGGAAATCCATGCTGTGGGCTGCTAGAGACACCGCCAGGCGGCACCTGACGGTACCTTACGGCCTGCCTGACCATTCCACCTCTCCAGCCTGACTACGCCTGTGTTCCTGAAGCCTGCTACTTCCCTGTGTCAGTCCACACATTTCTGGTCATACCCGGATCCCTAACACCTTCTCTGATTCCGGCACTCCTCGAATCCTAAAATTGTACCACCTAGCGCGATTCTCCAGGTCATCAATCTTGGACAGCACCACATCCAGTTGTGCCTGCAGATCTTGTATACGCTGCATATGCTGATTGGTACAAGCAATAGTAGTTTTGAGTTTCGAGGCCTTGCTCCAGAAGCTCAGAAAATGTAGTTAATAGTGCTTGGTGACTCACATCAGCTTGCAGAGAGAGAGGTTCGGGGACAATGCAGCCATGTCTGGGCTGGGGGGCTGAGATACAGGCTGGGAGTCCAGGAAGCCTCCAAATGTGCGGGCCAGGAGGGACTCAATGGAGGTTAGTGATGCCCCTGGAGGTGCTATGGCAGTGAGTGGGAAAGAGGAGCCCTCACACCCATCCAGAAACATTTCCCCTTCACCTGCATCCTCATGGCTGGATCCGCCATATGTATCCCCTGATGGTACAGTGGCCATCTTGAAATCTGCTTAGAGGAGCGTGCAGCTGGTGGCGGCTGGAACCAGGCTTGGAGACCTGTTCTATCGGCCATGCAGAGAGCAGGAAAGTCCTGGAGGCTTAAGAACCCAGCTGGGAATGCTGGAACAGGCCGGAGTAAGCAGCCGCTGCGCGGAGCTACTCAGCTAAGTGGCCATCTTGCCGGAGCCCGAGCATGCACCTTAAAAACACTTTTTTTAGAGGCAATTTCCCACTGCTGCTCTACAAACTCCCTGCTGACACCACAAACTGTGGAAGGGAGTTCCACATCCTTACCGCTCTAACAGTAAAAACCCCTTACATAGTGTAAGATTAAACTGCTTCTCATCCAACTTTATTATGTGCCTTATATGAGAGACCTTAGGTTAGTTTTCTCAAAATATCAAATGTTTTAACCTTCTGTTGATACCGGTTCCCAACCGGTGATCACTGCAGCACCCACTTATTGCAAAACCATTTCCAGGAAGGTGGGTGATAGGAATATTGTATTGGATTTGTTCAGAATTGAGTATTTAAAGTAAACACAATTTGTTTTAACGTTGTAAGTAAAAATACAGCTTGCAAAGTAAACATTTAATTTTGATAAGTGACCAGCGTTTACTACTATTTATTTTTTACTACTACTATATATTCTTTATTACGTATTAAATGCACCTCTTAATCTTGCTCTATTTTAAAGCATTAGTTGTACCTCACCTTGATTATGTAGTTGTGTTTTTGGGCATCAGTTCACAAAAAACAATGTTATGAAACTGGAAATAGTGCTGAGAAGGACATCAGTTACCGTATGTGGACAGATTAGCTAAGATTAATTTGTTTACTCTTTGGGCCCTTCCACACAGGGCAGACTCTGATTTGATCAGCAGGGGATCTGTCCACTGATCCCCTGCTGTTCAGAGCAGAGCAGGTGGATGATAGGTGAAGGACAAACACAGACAGAGCAAACACAGACAGTTTCCTTCAATTTGATTCATCTAGACGGAGGGGGGTGGATCCACTTCCTTTTTTTTTGTAGAGGACTGGATCGGATTGGAGGTAGGTAGGTGTAAATTGACTCAAGACTGTTTACACCCACTGATCCTCAGGGGTGAATAAAGGGTATGATCAGGTCCACCTGAAACTGAAAGTGATTCTAAAGGCTTATTTATAAGAAAAAAAAAACACAAACATGCGTATACTTACCTGCTCTGTGGTTTTGCACAGAGCAGCCCAGATCCTCCACTTCTCGGGTCCCCTGCTGGTGCTCCTGGCCTCCCTCCTGTTGGGTGCCTTTACAGCAAGCAGCTTGCTATGGGGGCACCTGCTGTTCCGTGTATCCATTCACACACAGAGCCGCTGCTTGGCCCTGCCCTGCTCTGTTTTCTCATTGGCTCACTGGCTGTGATTGACCCAGGATAGCCAAGACTCCAGTGCACATCGCTGGATTGAGAGGGGCTTAGGTGAGTTTGAGGGGGGCTGGGGAATGTTGCAAAGATAGTTTTTTTACCTTCATGCATAAAAGGCAAAATGAAGGGAAAAACCTTTGAGCCTTTAGAACCAATTGAAGGTGGACCTCATTGGACCCATCATATGAAAGTGCCCTTAAGTTGACAAGATTCAGTATATAATACCCTTTTATAAATACATAATAATTTATACAGTAACCTTGGTGGCAAGTTGCTCACTTGAAAGTGGACAGACAGTGAAAGATTTACATATTCCTAAGAAGAAGTTAAATGGCTTTAAAACAACCCCCTGCTAACCTTTGTAGCTGTGGGTGCTGTGGAGAAATTCATCCAAAGGAGCTTGTTCTAGGCAACTTAGCAGATTGTTTCATAAAAGCCCTGATTGACTTTCTAAATGTACAAATATTAAATGGGTATTAGTTTATAAGAAGTAACATTGTAGAAGAACACTGAGGATCCCTACACTGATCAAAAAGCCCCAGTCATGGCAGAAAATGGAAATATGGGCTGGTTCAAGATCAGAAAATTAGATGAAAAAATGCTGCATATTTTATTTATTCAATCTGTATGCCAAACATACAATAAGATGAGTGGAAGATCATAGAGGTTTCAAGATTGGTGACTAAACAGCAATCTTTGGCATGCTGATGACACTACTAAGATGGGAATTCAGCTTAACATAAAAAAATCAAAGGTTATGACAACAGGAAAGATAGCTAACTTTGAAGCTGATAGTGAAGAAATAGAAATATACTGTTTCTGCTTCCACAGATCAGTTATTACCAACAAATACTCAAGCAGTCAACAATCATCATAGCTTTTAGAAGAGCAAGGATTACAAAATATATTTTTAAAGTACTGGCGTGTCTATAGGTACTATCATTGGAATTGTCAGGTTGTGGTATTTTCTGTCACTCTCTGTGGATGTGAAAGTTGGACAAAGAAAAAGTAAGACCAGAAAAGTATTAATGTCTTTGATTTCTGGTGTTGGTAAAGACAGCAAGGAAAGCAAACAAATGAAGCCCAACCTTTAACCAGAAGCTCAGATGAATATGCTGAAGATGTCTTGTATTGGACATATTATAAGAAAACACAACTCAATAG